AAGCGAGGCGGCGCATACCGCTCCATATCCTCCAGAATAGAGTACCTGGTGTCGCCTGCTTCGAGAAAGTTGAAATCGCCGAGAAGAAAAACAGTGGTGGTCACTGGTGACCACATCGCACGCTTCACTCTCCTAAACTGGTCCAGAAGAACACCGTGAGGTAGCCCAGGGACAAAATGAACATTGATAATCTGGAGTGAAGCTTGCGGCCCATACAATCCCAAGGACGTGACTCTCCCCTTCACGACCTCTGAGAACGCTACATTCTCGAACTGCTCTCGAAGACTCTTGCGCACACTGGTGACTACACCTCCAGCACCAGGCTGGTCAGAGCAGAAACTGCCAAAGTGGAGGTGTTCCTTAAAATCCTTCTCAAGCGACGTGACATCACTGGGCGTGCCGTGCGTCTCCTGCATGCATACAATGTCGTGCGCACTCATAAGATCACCCACACACTTATAAGTACGAGCTTCCATGTCATGACTCCCCCACACGGATCCAAATACAGTGTGCGCGTTCCACGTCACAATCGAGAAATTCTGGTTCGGAACATATGGAGAACAATCGCGCTCGTCCACGGTACTCACGCTAGAGCTGGTCTCGGAGTAGGAGGAGGAGGAGGAGGAGGAGGAGGAGGAGGAGGAGGAGGAGGAGGGAGAGGAGGAGGAGGAGGAGGAGGCGGAGGAGGAGGAGGAGGAGGACGGGGAGGAGGAGGAGGAGGAGGAGGAGGAGGCGGAGGAGGAGGAGGCGGAGGAGGAGGACGAGGAGGAGGAGGGAGGAGGGAGGAGCGCAGCTTCGAGGATCGGGAATATTGTTCGCTTTTCGCTGCTTCTGGGGCTCTGGGGGACCTCTCGTCGCCACAGCTGGAGTCCATTGGAAACGATTGTCAAAACGCAACCCTGGCCAGGTCTGGGGGGAATGGAACCAGAGGAGTGGGTGGCGGCGGCTGGCCAATAGCATGGAGCCTTTGAGCCGTAGGCCTGGTGTCCGCCACCCCTCCACACTTCCCCAAACTCGAGTGTGGGAAGGGAGAGCGGGGCAGCGGGCGGAGTTCGTTTTGTGTCTTTGGTCTCCCCAACAAAAGTCTGAACTTATCATCTGGCGAAGACCTGGTAAGACTGCTTGCGAGCCTTCCTGCTTCTCCTGTCCGTTGTCCTCCTTCGCCTTGTCATTACTATACATATATTCTCCTTATGGATAACTCCCCCCCCCGTCGCACCACCAGACGTGCCCGTAGGCCAGGCCCAGGCGTTTGGCTCGAGGCTTCCTTGCGCATTGCTATCCTGGAGCTTTACAAAACGCAGCAGTTAAAAGGATGGAGGGCTCGTCGCTTTCAAAATGGGATCCCTAAGCGCCGCGCGCATTCGTCTTCGAACTTGCAACCGTTACGAGGATGGAGACTGGGTAGCTGCCAAAGTGGGGCTCTTCCCTCTTAGCGCCGCGCACATTCGCATTGCAATCGTGCAACAATTCCAAAGATGGAGGGCCGGCCGATCTCAAAATGAAGCTCTCACCTTTGCGCCGAGCGCAGTTCCCTTAAAAAATTCCATTAACCGCAAAACTGGAGGCCAGCTCGTCTTCAAACGCGGCTCTCACCGGATAGTTCCTCAACTACTACGACCCGAAGTTCATTCTTGGGCAACAGCTACACGGATGGAGGGAGGTCGGCTCCTTTTCACAACGGGACGCTCGCTTGAGACTTCCGCAAATCCTATGACCCGAAGTTCGAAAAATGTGCAACACTTTCACGGATGGAGGGCAGATCACTTCCAAAATTGGACAAACGCTGGGCACTTCCTTGTACTTTAACATGCTGCCCTTTCACGTGCTCTTGAGTTGAAGGGTGGAGGGTGGATCCTCTACAGAACGCAGCCTCGCCTGGGTGGCAGGCCCACCAGGCGCTCGTCAGTCCAGGGAGGCGCTTCCCGCGGTGGACAGGAATACCTGTGGGAACCTGTGACGAGGGGACTTGGGACGGGAGAATGCATGATAGCATCGTTGAATCCTGGATTCACTATTGTCCTCCTCCTACCTCCTCCTTCCTCATCCTCCTCCTTCCTCCTCCTCC